ACTTGTTGAGAACCACTGACTGCATCGTGGCATTTGAGATTAATATGGACAGTGTTGCCGGTGTTACACAAAACTTTTAAACTATAACTTTTATATGCAATAGGGAGAAGACAGTTAAATAAAATAGACATGATGTTAGAAGAAGACACTTACTTTTTCAGCATTTAATAGATTTGCTTTTTAAATATTGCAATTTTAAACTTTATGATAATCTTTAATTCGCGGAAGTTAAATTTACAGTCGTTTAAGATTCTCTTTATTTGGAAGTAAAAATTAGGGTTATTATTTTTTAACTAATTATAGAACATTTGAGATTTAACATGATTATGTTATACAGCGAGCATAAAGAAGTTCAAAAAAGTGATAATTAATCGAACTTTTGTACGTCAAGTTGGAGATTTTGATAATTTTTTTCTCGGAAATGGTCGACTTTAAGACCCAAGTCATATAAGGTTTTTTGTTTATTTTAATGTGTTCTATCGTCTGTTAAAATTAAGGCAGTCAAGCTTATAACACCATTATATCAGTATTTAAAATATGTGCACGCATTTAAGGTACACCCTGTATAATTTTGACTTCTGTCCGATTATTCTTTAATTTTGGATCTGTCCTTGCCTACAGCGTTCGGATGCAACTGATAATGACCAACAGAACTTTGGGAACGAGAACGAAAATTGTGCAATAAAAACCTCTCAGCATTAAGCAATCGGTTGTTTTTACTTCTGACCTATAGATATCGACCGAGTACATTTAGCTTTTTAAAAATATTCGAGTAGTTTTTGGGTGTTCGACAGTTGAATGAGAACGGTATTTGGCAAACGGTTGCGTCATCAGTGTTTGGAGCGCCAAGATAGGTAGATGGCGAGGTTAAATTTGTAATTCGGCGAAGAACCTTGATCCGAATTACCTGGTAAAATAGTGTCTCTTATGTAATTTGATAATCGCCATAATAATCAGCGACTTAGGAAGACCGGCAATGATGTACATGAATACTGCTACAGATTTATTAAAAGTAAATAAATTATAGTAATATCGGTACTATTTCTTGCGGCACCGACTTGCTCTTGGTACAATGACCCAGTTAGTCATAAAATTGATGACATGTTTGTAGTTATTTAAGTGAATTTTATTCCTTTGATTAGGATACGAGTGAAATTTAGGTACGGGGGTTCACTGCTCCCATAAAAAGAATAAAAATGGACATTTTTTGTGAAACGAATTATATTATGATATGGTTTAGATTTAACTAGCCCTGTTTATCTTTTAGCCGACTTACAGTAAACGCGAATTTGAGTTCAGGGGCGTATCAAGCAGCTGATATTACTTTCCAGTTCCACAAATCTATACCTAACCTTTAAACAGATAAAAAAACATTAACAAAAGCGAATAACCGATTTGTACGATGTAATTTCTGTCCCCTGTAACCGTCTCAAACATAGCTTTGCTTAGGCATGACTAAATTATTTACATTTTTACATGGGGAAGGTATTTAATAGACGCTCCTCGCGCGTTTGGACGGATGTGCGCGGATTTTTCAATTCTTTTTCTCCGTGTTTTGTCTGCTGCACTTCTTTTATGTGTATTTAAGTTTAAGATGAAGGGGACAAGATTTATTGCTTTACTAACCTAAATAACGTACTTCACAATTTCAAGAAATAATTTTAATTTCCAAAAACTTTCTCATAGGCTTTTCTACGTCGATATTTTTAACCATCTGCAAAATTGCAACATTCGATGGTTATTCATCTTTTTACGGAGTTGAAAATTTGCAAATCAAAAACTACTATGGAAACCTGGAAGTGACATTATATGGAATATATTGAATAAACGCCCTGTAAAGTACACCAGCAAGAATTTTCAATTTTCATGTAAGAGATTTTGTCGAAATATTAGACTGACTCTTCGAAACGCCGACTATATTGGAGCCTAATTAGAATTGGTAAATCTAATATTTGATTATTTGAATAAATAATCAGTGTAAATAATTGCGCAATGATATTCCTGTGGTTTATAGACAAATGTTACGCCATAAAATTAGCTGTTACATAAAGCCGAACCGCACGACCATAAAAATAATAATACACACATGATGGTGCTGCACACAGAACTGATAGTTTTAAATTTAGAAACTGGTGGATTCCCAAGAATTCGAGAAAATGAGACGGCTTTGAATAAACATAAAAAATGACTTTTAGCGTTAACAAACACTGGAAATTACTAATACGCCACGGAAAAAGTGCATGTACTTATTTAAAGACGGAATTCTCAGTAAAAGTGATTACGCGTCTACAGAAAAGCAAATATGTTTCAGTGTTATTGATTCCAGGAGCTTCTCTTTCCGGGATAAGTGGTGTTCCACAGCAAGAAATTAGAGACTTCTCAAAACAATGTATTATTTCTGAACTATTCTAAATCGCGTACGGCTTGTGCTTTAAATAAGATCCATTCAACAATGAAAATCGCTACTCTTTCCAGGATTCTGCTTCTACTACAATGAAGTTACTCCCTCTCTGCCTCTGTTTACCTCTTCAGACAAAAACAAATGAATTAATTTTGCTATTTATTGCCTGCATTTCATAAATAATAAGTTTATAAGGAATTTCGCCAAAGGAAACAAGAACCCTTAATTCGAAAGTATAGTAAAATGAGCTATAGAATATCTTATTTAGACTTATCGCTCCTTTCTAAGTTCCCCGTTCTGAAAACGCCTCGCTGTGTATATTCCGAGCCTTAGTATTAGCGTCTAGATCCCCACAGACTTTAGAGATTAACGTTAAAATTTAAATTACTAAATTCATCCGCTGTATTCGCGAGATAAAAGCATGTATGAAAGTTAAGCCAAACCGAATCGTATTGTCAAGCGGCTTTAATCCTTGGTTTGCTTTTTGTTAACGTGTGCGCAGCTGGAGCTCAAGAAAATTGCGGATGTTACGAAGCGAGCTAAAAAAAATACCGAATCATCGGTGCTTTCATATTGAAAAAACGCGGATTTTTAATATAGACGGCAGCAGAGATGGAGGAATAAAAGAAACGATTTTAAGCGAGACGGGTTGAAAAACATGTTCCGTCTGGAAATCTCTCAACTTTCTCCAGAGCATTATCGATATTAGGTCTGACACCGGCGAATGGGAATACATGACCTCTGCCAGAAATTTTCAATTTTCTTAAGTAATCCCCTTCGTCCTATCCTATCTTTATCCTGTTTGACTGAAATTAACAAGGAATATAAAAAAAATATGTTATTCGTATACCTTGAAATCATAACCCACCTAAAATAACTCTCATTCATTACATTGCTTAGTAAAAAATTGTTAACTTACAGCTTACATTGTCAATTTTTCACTATTTAGTCCTCGTTGACACCTCAAAAGCAATATAATTTTGCTAAATTACTTATTTTACAAGTTAAATATTATTCCTACAATTTTCTTCCAGTTGTTTAATATTTTTGCCCCTCAGGGCACTGGTTATGTCTGACATTTACTTGAGTGTGTAATTTTGTCTTTAATAAATTGATTTTACTAGCAAGTTATCGCTAAATTTAAAGTTAAATCTTTTTAATATAAAGCCAATGCAACTATGTTGTTTGTTAACATTTTTTTTTGTGTAAACGTAGTATCTCCTTAATATTCTCAAGAAACACTGAATAATAAATCTTTTATGGTCGCAAAAGTCTAGACTAGCATTAAATCGATATTTTTTCAATGTACATATAAACGCAAAATTTATATTTTACAATAGTTTTCAACTATAGCTTCATTCAGTTAAAGATATACCACAACGGAAATCAAGTTCGTTAAATAACAAAAATATTTATTTTTTTTTTGTAAGTTTCGTTGACACTGGACTATTTTCTTGTTTTTTTTTTTTGAATGACAACAAATTATTAAATGCTTCTACGATAAAGAGGCAATACGAAAATGCGTTTCACAAAAACTCGACCAAATTCTAGAAGGTTTGGAAAAATTTCATCATTAATTATTGTTTTGTAACTTTTTGTATTTTAACTTTTTTACTTCCTACAATTTCCGATTTTTATAGTGAACATATCAAATGAATCGCTCTGTATAGTTTTTATTTTATCTAAAGGGCGTTAAATTTTATAGATGACATCTAGTTTTAATTAGTATAACACTGATATTTGCTCTGTGATAATATAAAGATTTTGGGCACTTTTATATTTTGGTAATTTTTATATAAATAAACCATATATAATATAGCTCAAGAAAATTAGCACAAATTTTTTTTTAGTTAGAGTAAATCTGACAAAACCAGCGTTTTCAGCGAGTTCAAAAACGTATATTTGGCTGCATTTATAAAGGTTTTGGCCACTTTCATATTTTGGTAATTTTTCCTACGAAATATACATAAACTATAATATAGCTCAAGAAAATTAGCACACATTTTTTTTTTAGTTAGAGTAAATCTGACAAAACCAGCGTTTTCAGCGAGTTCAAAAACGTATATTTGGCTGCTTTTATAAAGGTTTTGGGCACTTTTATATTTTGGTAATTTTTATATAAATAAACTATGGCTCAAGAAAACTGAAATCTGAAAACTGAAGGAATTAAATAGATATTAATTATTTTCATTTCCTTGTCAAACTTATTGACTACATTTCACTTCTTTCCCAAAATAGGAAGTGATACGTCCGGTTAGAACCCATTGATATGTGTACATGTTCATTCTCTGTCCAAGTAATTTCCTTTTAATTCAACTTGACTTTTGTTAGCTACATTTTAAATTTAATTTCCTCTTTCGGGATAGTCAAAGTCAAAACCTTTAATATTATATTGTACAAAAATTGTACGTGTACTAAAAATAGAGCAATTAAGAAATTACATTCAATTTACACGGATTCTACTGTGTACAGTCGCAGACAAAATATAGTCTGTACTGTTTCAAAATCCCTAGCTAATAACTGAATTTTAGTCGCTGATAAAAATTTTTACCGATCTTTTGAATTTTTTATATTATCGCAACTATTGTTTCTGTTACAGGAAAATCTGAAGATAGGTTTAAAAATGACCACACGCATCTTTCGCGCGCACGGGGAGTTTTGTGCTTCCCACCCCTGGGAAGTTATCGTAGCCACCCTTACGCTGACAGCATGTATGCTGACCGTCGACCAACAACACCCAGCGCCACCACCGAAGCCGGCAGTTCGATACTGTGTTGGATGCCTGAACGAGGTAAGATATTTCGCAACCTCACGACAAAGAATAAACCATTGGAACTAAAGGAAAAAGAAAACAATGTCCCCATTAAAATCAAAATGTGATATTTTTTCTCTCCGGCATTTTGAACACCCTGTGTAATATAATAGTAGCCGTGCACTTTGAAGTAATATACAACTTGGTATTGTAGGTCAGTGTCCGACCGTATATATAGAACGTTTTGATCTTTATTCGATGGCGTAAATACCAATAGCGTATAAACTGATGGTTTTAAAATTCGTAATAAATAATGTATACCCATCTCCATAATGATCTCAAGAGCCAAAACGCATTAAGCCACATCTAAAACAGAACTAAATTTACTAGTCAGCCTCGTTTTGACATTTATTGTGTGGAAAACAAATAAGAGAAAGTATATACAGTAATTAAAGTTGATCTTAAAACAAAATATGTATACAGATATAAAACAAAATGAATTTTAACAACCGTTCGTGTTTGTTTAATCAAAAAACTTCTACTTTTTGCACGCAATAAATTCCTTTTAAAATCAATAAAATGCCAGTTTGTGCGTTCGTTTTACGCTCCCTATGTTTAGGTACTAAAGGCGAATTAACACTTTGGCACTAAACAATATTATTTTCTTAACCATTTTAGTCATAAAACACGTCTGTACGTACGAATAAATAAATCGTTATTATCGTCGTCGGGAAGATTACAATAACTCCATTTTTACTACCGCTAAACACTTTTCACGTTATAACTTATAATTATGAAAGTTCAACTGTAAATAAGAAAACCTATACGTTTGATAAAAGTACGGGTAAGCGTAAATTTAGAAACATTCATATTTCTTGATACAAAGGATATATTAGTTGACGTTGTAAACATTACCGTTATGTTTTATTCTGGTTTGTTTGTGACATACGACGGGCTGTGTATATGCCACATAAATATTAATAAGATAAACAAAAGCACAATATCTTGTGTGGTCGCACATAGGCACTTATCTTTGATGTAAGATTATTTAACTATTCCGTAAAAAAATAACAACATCGGTAATAGATTACTGCAAACATCACATTAAACTCGCGCTTTTGTGGGTCCAAATAAACAAATTCGCTGTAAAACAATGTTAGTGGCGCTCTCTGTCTAAGATGCACATTATGTAAAATAAAGACATGGCGGATGTTCACTTCTGTTGCAACGTCTTTTCGAGCGTGTTAATGGAACCAAGTGAATAAAAATATTGTATAAAGCGACTGACTCTTGTCGTTTTTTTTTTGTACATACATTATTCGTTGTGCCATTTGAAGAGCTTTATTTTGTTAACCTGTTTAAAAAATCATTAATTCATTATATTTTTAATATTTTAGATGTTGCATAGAATCGCAAGTAGTAAATTACATAAATGCATACAACACGTCTTAAGACAAAACTAATTTAGACAGAGGAAGAAATACAACTAATGTTAGTAATTGTGGTGACATTTTACTTACAAAACTGGCGCAACAAGAAACCCTCCTCGATTCTTACAAGGTCCTAAAGTCGCAAAAACAGCCCTTGAACGTCTGAAGTATTAAATTATACATGTAATGTCTTCCACGTATAAGGATATGTTTTACGATGACACAATATTTCTCCATAAAATTAAACAGAACACGATAGGGATCGTATACTAAGAAGGTAATAAACTTAAATGATTGACAGCCACTCCAAACTACCAACGTCTATTTACTATTCACTCTATCCTATCTGTGTTACGGTGTAGCACTTTTTCTGGACATTCCAGAATTCCAGATAACTGCAGATTCGCCAGACGCTTTTTTACTTTTTTGCGAACTGATAAAAAGCTCAAAAATTAATTAGGTACTGTTATTTCCTTAAATATCTTTTCAGCCACGAAATTTGAATAATTCTATATTTTTCGAATTTTCACCCCCAAGAACGGCAGTGACAACATTTTCAAAAAAATGGCGATGTTTCGCATGGTACTAGCTACATCCTGGACAGATTTACTTTCGCGCAACTCACTCGGTTTCAAAAATACAATACCTATGTACGTTTTCAGCCACGAAATTTGAATAATTCTATATTTTTCGAATTTTCACCCCCAAGAACGGCAGTGACAACATTTTCAAAAAAATGGCGATGTTTCGCATGGTACTAGCTACATCCTGGACAGATTTACTTTCGCGCAACTCACTCGGTTTCAAAAATACAATACCTATGTACGTTTTCAGCCACGAAATTTGAATAATTCTATATTTTTCGAATTTTCACCCCCAAGAACGGCAGTGACAACATTTTCAAAAAAATGGCGATGTTTCGCATGGTACTAGCTACATCCTGGACAGATTTACTTTCGCGCAACTCACTCGGTTTCAAAAATACAATACCTATGTACGTTTTCAGCCACGAAATTTGAATAATTCTATATTTTTCGAATTTTCACCCCCAAGAACGGCAGTGACAACATTTTCAAAAAAATGGCGATGTTTCGCATGGTACTAGCTACATCCTGGACAGATTTACTTTCGCGCAACTCACTCGGTTTCAAAAATACAATACCTATGTACGTTTTCAGCCACGAAATTTGAATAATTCTATATTTTTCGAATTTTCACCCTCAAGAACGGCAGTGACAACATTTTCAAAAAAATGGCGATGTTTCGCATGGTACTAGCTACATCCTGTACACATTTAATTTCGCGTAACTCACTCGGTTTCAAAAATACAATACCTATGTAAGTTTTCGTTTTAATGCATGCAGTGCAACCAACATATTATAAATATTGGAAAAGAGATTACCGCTTGTAAAATTATGAAAGTTTCTACATTCTCCATTCATTTCGCAAACTCGTTTTCGTTGGCTCTCCACGTAACTCACGCTGTTTATCTCATAGAGATTATTGACATTGGCAGTGAAAGTGAATGAGGAATATCGTTGTGGTCGTATTTATTTTGTCATCGTGCGGCCATTAATTCAGATCTACAATTACAGAGCTAGACGAAAGTAAAAAAAGAAAATTGATATCATTTGCATTTGACAGCATCACTCCTAGCTATTAAATTCAAATCGGGACAAACTTGCATCATCTATTGCACATCCTCTTGGCACTCGAATGTATGGTTTATATTAGATACTTTTTTCGCGTCTTTAAATGTGCGATGGGCTAATAATCATGAATGGGATGCTCATATGTACATAAACATAATACTTGTAATTACGACCAAGAAAATGCAACATTGATTTTCATTGATGTAACATTTTAACAATTTAGAAAAGTACTTTGGAAAAGACAATTGATCCTACCTAATATTATAAAATATCGGTTTTAGACCTTGAAACTGCAGTTAAAAATTAAGATCGAAATACATAGAACAAATTGTAAAATTTTTCTCGCAAGAAATTTTATTTTTTAATTTAGAAAACGCTAGCCTTTGTCACTATGGAGCTGCAATATACTGGTTTTGTATTTTTCTTGAATATTCACCGGGAAGAATGTTAATAATATCCTATATAGACAGGTTTTGATTAACAGCCAAATTTAGACACCTAAGCGATGGGGATATAAATAAGATCAGTAGCGTGGAGAGCAATTTTATACGGTCTCAATTACTCTTTCAAATAAAAAATTATAATGGTGACTTTCTTAATGTGTTTTAAAAAATGTTTGTAACTCGCCTGCTTCTGGCGTCGATGCTTTGTGACGGTGCCGCGTGGTTGATCTGAAAAAATAAAATGTATTTAAAACTACTTCTTCATTTCGCAAGGCAAGGAAAAATAACATTATTTACTATTTTATTCGAAACATCGTCGAAAAATTTCGGTTTAAATATCCCCACCGGAAAGCACGGTACTAACGAGCTAAAATCAAACGGTTCGATGCCGAGGAATTAAATACTCATTCTGGAGTAAAAAGTAATTTCTTTGCCTTCGAGAACGTAATTGCTCCCCTCGGTTTTATGGTTTTGTCGATACGGCAGTTTATGGGATTATATTTGCTAAAATATTAAATGATCCTTCTCCCTAATCACCCCCTTTAGAATTGGGAGAATTCTATAAAACTGCTTTCATTCTCTAACACCAACCGCCGGTTCCCGTTCTTATAAAATATTTTCGAGACCAAAAATTTAACTTGTTTTGCCTGCAAATTAGATTACAAGTTTTCATTTAACTACTGGCAAAATAAGTATAAAACCACAACTACGTGTAAAACTATCCGTGTTTATAGGTCCTGAAAACTTCAGTGAAAAGGCAGAGAGCTATGTTATCTCGTGCCGCACCACACAGTTTGTTGTCTATGGAAGAGCTTCTCCATTTCAGAGATTGATAAATATTCGAGAACGTGAAAATTAACACACCCTCAAGGCACGTTTAACTGCCTCGACGTAAGATACAAGGCGAACCAATTTCAAAGCCAAATATGTTTACCTTTTTAAAGCAAAATCTCTATGATGTGCAGCGGGTCCACAAAAACCAACAACAGCGTTCACCACTACATTTTGCTTTAAAAAATTGGCTTCGACTTGCAACAGGAGTTCATTCCATGCATACTATTGAACCATTCGGGGTATTATTGTAAAATATTATTCAACAAATTGCAGCGTAATACATGTGGAATCAAAAAAAGCAAAGCAGATAATCGCTTACCACCATCTTGAATTCGAAAAAGATGGTAATGGCAATTGTAATATCAAAAGAGTGTAGAGAATTTTAAATATATCCTTATTAGATAAATATAAATGCAGACAGTGGCGTAACATATTATTTTTCAATGTTTGTTGTTGCAGGCGGAATACAATGCTGCAGATGTGATTGTAATGACCATTATCCGTTGTCTGGCAGTTCTCTATTGTTACTACCAGTTCTGCAAACTCCAGAAACTAGGCTCGAAGTACATACTAGGTAAGTCCAGTGAGATTCTAGTTTAAATTTTAACAGTAGCGCTGGCAGCTACAGTGGTACGGCCGGGCCGGTGAAAGAAAGTAAAGAGAAAATTATTCAATGTCATGGTCTTTGGGTAATCCGCAGTGGAGAAAGTGACTATTTCTTTTATGCTATAATAATCATATTACGTATCTTCCATAAACATTCTTGTATATTGTTATAGTCACGTAAAAATATTTCCAGCTATTCTCTCGACGCGTGAGCGTAATCTAATTCAGTCGATACTTTCTTGAAATATAAATATTTTAAAATCATTTAAAAAATTATATAGCAGTTTCGCGGAAACAAAAAAAATTGTAGAACAAACTTTTCAGTCTACAGTAGGGTATAAGTGACTTTATCTTCCAGTACACATAATCTGTATTTGCATCAGTCGAAAAGAGAACATTTTAAAATCTCCTTATACAAATTTGTACTTGATTTTATATATTATTATTTATACTGCCATCAACTTGTGACGTACTAGACTATAGACATATTTTAGCTTTGTTCCTAAAGCAGTGCAAACAGTTACCAACAGTCAGACGCATGCGCATTTTGATACAATAAAATTCAAAATTTATAGTTTTGAATCAAATGCCTGTTGAAAACTGTTTCTAATGCACGTCTTATTTAAGTAACTACTTTATGTCTCTCTCTATTAGTAGATAAAATGAGAAGGGCAGTGGTATGAGATTTTAGTTGCACTTCTTATTGATAGATGGCGCAAGTATGGCATGGTTTAGCACGTCATAGCTGTCCGCCAAATTCGTTTAAAATTTTATATCTTTTTAAATAATGATTTCATACGAAAATAAAAAATACAGGGTAAGTTTTTTGACACATTATTTCATTTTCTATTAATATTGAAGAAGCAGGCAAACACCCCTTTCTTAGAAGATATAACGAAAAAATTTACTATAAAAATTTTTATAACATCACTTTCTTGTTATTTCAGGTATAGCCGGCCTGTTTACTGTTTTCTCAAGTTTTATTTTCACTACGACAGTCCTAAACATTCTCCGGATCGATGTGGCGGATTTGAAGTAAGTTTAATAAAAGTCTTCAAAGAAACACAAAAACATGATTTTTATTTGTTCTAGGGATGCTTTATTTTTCTTCCTCCTTTTGATTGACTTGTCCAAAGCTGCCATGCTGGCCCAATTTGCGTTGAACGCGTCTAGTCAAACTGAAGTAAAAAGCAACATTGCCAAAGGGATGTCTCTGTTAGGACCCACCATTACATTGGACACTATTGTGGAAACCTTGGTCATAGGGGTTGGAACTTTATCAGGTAGGATTATATAAAAATATGTATATATCTAATTTAATAATTAAAATTAATCTTTTTCTGCAATAAATTTTTTAATTCCATTTAGGTGTGCACCGACTTGAGATGTTGTCTTATTTCGCATGTCTGTCTGTTCTGGTAAATTACGTCGTATTTATGACATTCTATCCAGCTTGCCTATCATTAATATTAGAGGTAAGCACATAAATTGTTGGGAATAAAAGGACATAGGTACACTAAATATTTAAATAGTAACTTGAACTACTAAACACAAAATGAAAATATTTTTAGAATATGACATGGTCCACACACAAGGAAATGTCTATTTTAAGAAAATCTATTCATAAAAGTTCTTCAAAGATATATATTCTCAAAAGTAGTGAATACAGTTTTAAAAACCTTTGTCTGTTTCAGTTGTCCCGGACAACAATTATTTATGGTAAGAAGCATTCATTGATAACGAAGACGTTCAAGGAAGAAGACCACAAATCGAATCCCGTAGTGCAAAGAGTGAAATTGATAATGTCAGCAGGATTAATGCTAGTCCATGCTCATAGGTATGTACAACATAGAGAAAAATTAGAATTTCAATGACCCTAAAAATAACCCATTTTTAAACGACTAGTTAATATTTACAAGTTCTTGACCTTTTTTCTTCTCACATTTTTACCATATTGTTACGTTAGATTTTTGCATAGATTATGTGGAATAATAATAATGGAGTCATTACGAGTAAAATTTGTTGCGTTATGCTACATATGTTTTATTTTTAGTCGATGGCCATTCAGGCAAGAGGATGTTGACAACATCAGTCCCTTAGTAGCCGAACAACACATGACCCTAAATCGTACTGAAGAAACAGCCTTGCATGGATATATTATGAAGTGCGTGTAAAAAAAATAGGTAATAATTCTTTACTAAATAATTTTATTTTTCAGATGGGTCACTCTTAGTGCAGACCACATAGTCATTTTAATTCTCCTGCTGGCGCTGGTGATCAAATTTATTTTCTTTGAAAATAAAGAGGACTTTGCCGAACAAATCAGAGCTTCCTTGTCGGAGAGCTTAGATAAAGAAAGCAGTGAATTTATACAATTAAATCAAGAATTAAGAAACAAGTTCCCGCCTGCGATGCCATTTTTCAAACCAGCTGAGAAGTTCTTTTTGGGAAAAAACATCTCTGACGACACATCAGGTATTAATAACTCATTTGTACAGTTCATTTAAAGCCGTAAACATTAAAATATATTTTAGAAGTAGAATTCGAAGATAAAGAAGTACAAACCACTAAATACGAATCAGACGGTGACAGCTCTGCCTCAAGAGATGAACAGGAAATTTGCCGCAGTTTGCAAGAATGTTTAGAAATATATAACGACTCAGATTTAGGGGCTGTTGCTTTAACAGATGAAGAGGTTATATTATTAGTCAAAAATAAACACATCGCTGCATACCAAATAGAAAAAGCCGTAGACGATCCGGTAAGAGGTGTTGGGATTCGGAGAAAAATTTTAGGAAGTGACGGCAACTTTACGCGAGCCTTAGCAGACTTACCTTACAAAAATTATGACTATGGAAAAGTAAGTAAACTAACATGAAAAAAACGTCATTATTTCAAAGTTAGTTTATACGATTTAAAGCTGTATATGAAATAACACTCTCGTTTTCTAGGTTATGGGTGCTTGCTGTGAAAACGTAATTGGCTACATGCCGGTACCAGTTGGTTACGCTGGACCATTGCTTTTGGATGGTCGAGAATTATTTGTACCCATGGCCACTACAGAAGGTTGTCTAGTGGCTAGCACTAACAGAGGTTGCAGAGCTTTAAAGAATTGTGGTGTGACTAGCAGTATTGTTGGAGATGGCATGACAAGAGGACCTGTTGTACGATTTCCCTCCCTTGTTAAAGCTAGGTAAATAAAAGTTATATTAAAAGCAATCAGATTGTTTAAATATCAATGAATTTCCAGTGCGGCTTTGAAATGGATGGAAATTCCAGCGAATTTTGAGTTAATAAAGGAAAAGTTCGATTCTAGTAGCAGATTCGCCAGACTTACTAGAATCCTGATAAGAATAGCCGGTAGATATCTATTTATTAGATTTGTTGCCAAAACTGGAGACGCAATGGGAATGAATATGCTGTCGAAAGGCACCGAATTATCCCTAAAATTTGTACAAACAAAATTCCCAGATATGGAAATCTTAAGTCTTAGTGGAAATTTCTGCACAGACAAAAAACCAGCTGCAGTAAATTGGTAAGCAATTATATTTAAAACTTTATCCCAGAATAATTTAAATGAGAGTACAAACATGGTGTTTACTTTTTTCAGGATAGAGGGTAGAGGAAAGTCGGTGGTTTGTGAAGCAATAGTACCTGGAAAAGTAGTAACGACTGTCCTAAAAACGACAGTCCACGCTTTGGTAGATGTAAACTATTCCAAAAACATGATTGGATCGGCAATAGCCGGCAGTATCGGTGGATTCAATGCTCACGCAGCAAACATAGTTACAGCAATATTTATAGCAACTGGTCAAGACCCTGCTCAAAATATCGGAAGCAGTAATTGCATGACACTAATGGAACCTTGGGGTGAAATTGGTGAAGATTTGTATATATCATGTACAATGCCGTCTATAGAAATAGGAACAATCGGAGGAGGAACAGTTTTACCAGCTCAAGCTGCTTGCTTGGAAATGCTCGGTGTGAAAGGTTCACACATTGAAAATCCAGGAGAAAATGCCAGTCAACTCGCTAGGATAGTATGTGGAATGGTACTTGCAGGAGAGTTATCGCTTATGGCTGCTCTTGCGGCGGGACATCTTGTTAAAAGTCATTTGAGACACAACAGATCCACCACGATTTTACCGGATAACATTCATTTCAAAAACAGTCTTCCACAAAGCAAGGATCAATTACTTGTTCCTCCATGTAAAGATAATTTCTAGGACTATTATTTATTTAATTAGAATGTGTTATTTTCAAGTGCAAAGTTTTGTGCCAGGTTTTATGTATATTATTTATAAATGGAATATAATCTCAGGTTGAGTAAATGTACATTCAGAGTGGTTTCAGGCCAACACCAATGCTAGTTTTTTTATTATCATACAAGATCCGAACATAAAAAATAGTAAATTGCATTCCTTGATTATGAAAAGTCTGTTAAGTAAAAACAAATTTATGTGTCGATAGGGTTATTCGATTTGGTCTGATTTTGATATGTAATGGAGATTCCAAACAGACTGTTCTAGTATTTAAATTTCTTTTATATTTAAAATTAATCACAACTGACTACTTAATGTAAAATAATGAATTGTTTGTAACAATCGAAAATTAATGAAAATATTCCCACGTCACATATTACCACATAGACTGAACTATATTTAATAAACAAAAATCGACAATAACATAAATTTACCCATATTTTTTGTATGTTCCCATGTTTAATTAAGTGTTGTAATTTTTATGAATATCTGTGATGGTCATTGGGGATTTTGCAAGTGTAATACCAAAAGGTGGCTTGTTTTAAACAAGCTGAATCTATAATAAAACTGGTTCCATAGTTTTATGAGATATTTAATTATTGTAAATAAACTAATTTTGAAATAATAAATGTTTTTCTTTAACATGCACCCGAAATGAAAAAGTGCTTAAATCTCGACATGATGCAACCTGAGTAAATAAATAATAGATTTCTAAGTGATCACCAATTTTATTAAAAACTATAGAACATTATTACATATATAAAAAAACAATGTGAAAAAAGAAGTTAAAATTATGTTCAAGAGTAAAATCATAACATTAAAATTTTGTATCCCAATTATTCCAAAAAGGTTTCACATTTTTTCAAAAGTTTCTTCATATGGGCAAGTAGTACATTTATGATGATAAGTATCATCTTCTTCGTTATATGTTTCTGGACCAAAATCATGAGTGTGCTTTCCTGCCGTAGTACGATTGTACAAACTACTGCGCATTCCTTTCCTTAGTTCCTTCATATGCTTCTCGTATTTCTTCGATTTTGTTATAACTCTTTTCTCCTCCCTAAGTTGTCTCTCTTCTTCAATTTTCTCTTCACTACCCCATACTTCTAATGCTCTTTTTTCAACCTAACAATAAATTTACATTATTTCATAAATTCAACCGATTAAATTGGGTCAATTTACTACAAGTAGGTACCTGTATCTGTAAATACAATTTCATTTCTCCCCATCGTACATTATGTGGATTTTTCTGTTTGATACATTTTAAAGGTGGTTCCCTTTTATCAAAATCACAATCTTTTAAAAGATATGTATCCTTTGCTTCCGTTTTGGTGATTAGCTTATGAATTTCGGGATCTCTAAAATAAAAAAATTGTGATTAACAATCAAGTGGATCCCAATGGCATGGTAAACTTACTTGCAACTATCGCAACATCTGAACGTGAAGTGATCAAACAACCAAGAAGTTGCGAACGGTTTCTCACAATTTTCACACGTAGGGCGATCTGGCTCAAAAATTGGAGCTTCTACTTGAGTGACTACTTTTTCCTATAAAATACCAAATATGTTATTTTAATTATTAACTATTTTTGAGTACTAACAGGAATTTCAAGTTCGTCAGGTTCTTCTAACAGAAATCCTCCTCCGGTATCTTTATACTTTGTAGCACCAATTTTGAGAGTAGTTGTATCTTCTGATATCACTTCACTAAAAAAATGTTAACTATTTTCAATCCCGTTAAAAGTTTCTACTATTTTCATTATTCAATAAATATCACGAAGATTTGAATTATCAGTAGGTATAATTATTAACACTTACCCCTTTGCATAAGGATGTGATACAAGTTTACTTCGCTTTAAAATAATGGCTCTTTGCCGATTTCTTTCAATTCTGCGTTTAACAGGCGTAGGTAGATCTTCTGCTGAATCTGACATGGTTTAATGAAATTTGAAAAACATAAATAGGAGATAATTCATAACCGTCAATGTCAAACCTTCTTTCTGTTTGAAATTTGAGGTTAAATATTTTTTTAACAAAAAATTTGGCGGATGCCCGTTTCTTCTTCTTCTACCAACAGCGGTCAATTATTTGTTCCGTTTTCTTGTACGAAGCGTTTAATCGTTATGTGGCGAATTATTTTTTGTACGAAAATGAATTTAAAAAACCTTACAAATTCTTCTCTTCATTAAAACAAAAAAATACCCATAACAAATACTTAAAAGTAGGTATATATTTTTTAGTCAGGCATCTTTTTCGATATGACACAAATATATTTGATGTTAAAAAAATATTATTTAGACATGGGGCATATTTTCCATTTAATAACAGAATAGCGATTTAGAGAAAATCGTACAATTAGAAGGGCTTTACTTTAACTCGAAATTATATTTTTAATGTTTCTCATTACTTTGTTCATCATTTTTATTTTGTCAATTTTCATGGTGCTTATTAAGGTATTTGTAAAAAAATTTTATATACTTTCAAAAAATACACATGCATTTAATATAATAGGTTTAAAAATATACATGTACATAAATAGTTTTAATACAAAATATTTTTTTAATTAATTTTAGGTTTAATTAATGTCGATTGGAAATGAAGAATTTATATTTAGACCTTTTTAGTTAACCATCAAAATAAATCTATAGTAGGATCATATTCGATGCAAAGTAATAAATCATTGCCTGTCAAGGGATCCAGTGCAATACGGTTTTAAGGGTTTTAAAAATTTAATTTCATTTTGCGTTATGAAGGGATCAGTTTACGTCTGGCACCCTTGTTGCTACAAAAATTCTTTTATTCCCATAAACTATTTATTTTAAATGTAATTTATTATAAATCCAATTTGTTTTTTTAATTTCACATATGTACTACATTTTATTAAATGGTCGAAAACCGGCATGGTGACCCTACATAAATTTGCATATAAAAGTACACAGTATAGCAAAATTAAAGTTTTATTATTAAAGAACAAAAACAAAAAATTATAACACAGTTACATAGGATCAGTAAGATATTCGTATATATTCGATAATTTGTATAGTTAGTAGACTTAACAATAAATATTCTTTTTTATATTTAAAGGCCATTATTTCATTTAAGACCACAAAGTTGCTCGAGTTTTGGACTATATCATTAGTAAGCATATTATGCTTTGTGCAAAGTATAAATAAATAGTTCAATAGATATATAAACAATTCATAATAGATAACAAATATAAAATCATATTTTTTAAGTTGTACCAAACAACAAATATTTTTATAAAAATAAAAAATCAAAACTTGGCGCATAGTAATAACAACAAATTTCCAAGATACCTAGAAATGCTGCTACAGCACACTTGCGGCATTATCATCTCCTGTGGATTTCTCGAAGAACATTGCATCCTAAAATACATCGATTATTGTCACATTGTAAAAAGTAATACTTAAAATCCTTATAACTTTTATTTACTTACAATTAAGAAACAAGCCCCTAACATTACAGCTTTCATTCGAACATCCAAGTCCATAGGAAACGTAATTCCAAAGTAATCGGTATCAGTAAACATTTCCCTTAAGAGGCCTGACCACTGTTTTGAAATCTTCCCTACTTGTACGGAACCATCGCTGGACATTACTTTAAATTCTACGTCCCCACAAATACTCATTGTGCAAAATGGACCTTCGATTTTGAGGACGGTGTCACCACTTGCATTTTTCACTGCAAACGATGGACAGAAAATACTCCATTCTTGTTCGACAGTACCTAAAATTGTTCCTGGAGGAGCTGACACTTCCATGCTCTGGAATGATTGCATAATTAGTACTCGTAGAAGTAGAAATCGAATGATCAATTACTTGTAAACAGCAAGGGAAGCAGCAAGAATCACAAGCTAATGGCCTGTAAAGGTGTATCACTTCATTCTTATAATTGTCTAGGATTTTCATGTCGAAAGGCCTAAGAGGGCCGCAACAATTACGAGTTAAGCAATCAGTGTCTTCAACAGCATAGTAAACTTTTTGACCTAAACTATTTTTAATGGTAAATTTATTTTTGGTTTCAAATCCAGTCAGAGCTAGAAAAAGGTGAAATTTAAAATTGAATGCAAAAATAAATGTATTTAGCAGTTTATTTTATTATTTATATGTACCTTCGAGTATTTCAACTTTTTGGTGGACTAGGAGTTGATCAATCATAGTAAGGTATTCCAATCCTGGAGGGCAGTTGGGAATGCCTTGCGGCATATTCATCCAACCACCTAAAAAATTAAAATTCATTAAAAATATTAAAACTCAGCGTAGACCACATTTTTGAAAAGAGTCATGTTAGGCATAAAAGTATCAATAAAATAAATGTATCTCAAATTGGTTTACATGCATGTAATTTAGAAAATTTTGAAAATATATATTAAATTTTAGAAATATTTCTAAATACGAAATTTACAAAACAATTGATATGCTAGGAGTTTCAAAGGCATACTTTTATCAAACTTTTTAAATGGTAATTGAATTTTTATGCTTTGGATCAACCTTTGATATTAAACAATATAAATTTGTCACGGTAAGTAAAACATTAATTGTTTTATTGTTTACAAATTTTTTATTTTTACACTTATTTAGCTGAAAAAAAAATTGATTTATTGTCTGAAATAAAATATTCTTTGAAAATTATGTCTCAATTTTTCGGTGCCATAAGATCAGGTTTGTTTTTGTTACTTATTTCATATATGATAATAATTAATCTAGTTAACATTAAACTGCTCCCAATATAAATTTTTAAAATGATCATAAATTTTGACAAATAAACTTTTAATTAGGAAACAGGAAATAAATATCACAGTAAATATGAGTTCAGCATTAACAGTTATAAATCAACAACAAAAGTAACTTGGAAAAATCCATATGATACGATAAATCTATAAATACATACTTATCAACACTGTTACTGAATAAAAAAATATATATAACATTTTCTGATTAATTATTTTTCAATTCTCAGTTTCTGGAAAGTTGGATACAGTCAAAGATGTATTTCTAAATTTATTTTAAGAAATGTCACTGAAAATAAAAAAGAACTAGGTATGCCGTATAGAGGGTGTCCCAGAAATAAGTGTCAACATTTTTCCCGCATTTAACTCGTCAAAAGAAACAAATTTTTCAATATAGCAATTTTCTCTCAAGACGTCTTGGTTTTTTAAAATTTTAAAATTCTTATTACCCGCCGCTGAAGAGTAAGTCTAAAGTCTTAGTTGAGTTAATAAGCAAATAAAAAAAGCACAACAATTGTCAACTAATTGTTAGTATTTAATATTTATGTCAGTAAAAAATAACAATTAAAACATCAGCAGCTCGTTAGTGTTATTTTTATAGGTACAAAATACTGAATAAAAATGTGAGTTCTCATAAAATTATATTACATAAAAGTTGTTCGTTTTCATGAGTTAAAACCTGGTTAGAATTTTGGCACATATTTCTAAAAAAAGGGCAATAAAATTCTGTTTCAAAATAATGCTTAGTTACTACAAGTAAAATATATAACAATAAAAATATGTATAAAAAAAAATATATAAACAAGTAGATATATATATATAAAATGTCAAACCTCTGTTCTTCTTCGGACAGAAACTTCTTGTAGCCTTTATTTTTTGGAGATTTCTTTATTTTAAACAATTTTCTAATTTTTTTGAATAATATCTGTGTGTTCACTTTAAATACAGATCTTAACTCAGACATTGTTATTCTTCATACTGACCCATTATTAAAGTAAGCTCATCAACATCTTTATCAGTCTTGTGGAAACAAATACTATTTATTTATCAATAAATTCATTCACACTTAATTTATTTTCATAGCATTGTTGCGATGATAAACTTCATCATTTAAAAACCATTAACTTCCCCACAAAACAACAACACTATACTATGATGCCCATGGCGGACTTAACTTAATAACTAAATTTTCTTATCTAATACCATAACAGCACGTACTTAAATCTTTATGAACAACTGTGCGGTAAATAACATTTATTTTTTTCTCTGAACAAATACGAGGATTTTTGCTTTACATTTTGATTTATTACTAGATATTCTATTACTATCATATTCTTTTCTATAATATAAAAGTAAACAATCTTATAAATGATTTATCAAATAAAATTACGTTTATCTAAAAGCGATGTTATCAATCTAAATAAATAGCAATTTTTTTCTGACTCTCACCTGACATCACTATGAATTTAACAAAAACAAATTTAATGTATTTAAGGCTCCCTTAACAAAGCTATATGTAGCGAAGCTGTGGCACCGATTTACTTAGATTTTATGGCACCTTGTACTCACATAACATTAAAATTATCAAATATTACACAAGTGTTTTATTAAAATTGCACCTTCATTGATTTATTCTTTTATAACGCCAATAAATGGACAATTGATTAAAATATTTAAAGTAGTTACATTTGAAATTAAAACAACTTACTGCCGGGTGAAGGTCCCCCAGGTCCCATAGGTTGATTTGTAATAGGTCCTCCATAGGGGGCTCCTGGAGGATACTGACCAGGGCCTGGCGGATACTGTCCAGGTCCAGGCGGATAGGGCCCCGGTTGGTATCCTTGTGGAGGACCGTAACCAGGTGGTGGACCGTAACCTGGTGCATTTGGTGTGGTATAACCAGGAGCAGGGGCAGGTGGATAATTAGCTTAAAAAAGATGGTGGTAAAGAAATCCAAATATTAACATTAAATTAATCTTACTGTTGTAAGGAGTCGGATACATCCCTCCCTGATGTTGTCCCTGCCCTTGCTGATGGGATGGAGGGTAAGACATGATAAATTTTGACAGAAAATAGATCAATACTTATCTAACCCTTATATTCACCACCACCTGTAGACCACCACATTTATCCTTGCAAATGTGCCTTTATTTAGAAAGTAAATGTTGTTAAATGATGACCGTGATTCTTTTATAAATATGCACAACGCGTATTGAATAGAAATGTTGAGTCACAATTTTAAGATAGCATTAGTAATATTGCGGTAGAGTGGTAGGTTAACCGAAAGGAACGGCTATATTAACAAACAGAAAATAGTTATTTTTAACTCTTGGCATATATCACAGTATAGTAATCAAATAGTATACTGTGCGGGCGAGAAACTGGCGTAGCCAACATTTAGCAGCAAATAATTCGCAAGATCGCAAGCACGCAAGCGGCACGTCACCGAAATTTCATGTTTATACACAAAGGTTTATCATAAAATAATTTATAAAACCAGTTCCAGTTTCCAGTTCAGTTCTGACCCTATTAGTCTCCAAATACATATACAGGGTGTTTTCAAAAGAAGTAACACAAATGGTACCGGTGAATCTACAGCTAAAAACATCACGTTTTGCATAAAAAGACCTTAGTAAAATATTGACCCTTTAAGAGATACAGCCTCTCAAAATTTTCAAAAAAATATGTAATTTGAAAAATAAAAAATGTATAATAGTCAAATTTTCTAATGCATGTGCAACTTCTCGAACATTTTTCGAAAATTTCTGTCCTTTGAAGGGGGTTGAAATAAGCATCTCCTAAATTATTTTTTGCTACAACTTTTGTTTGACAAAAATTGAATATTCAAAAATAAGTATCAGATAGCCTGGTTTATTTTAAAGCTTTTATATCTCTTACTTTTAAAATTTAAAACAATTAAATTAATTATCATTCGCATTACAAATGGCACGACTGCAAATTTGCAACTGATTGTGAGAAATATTTAAGTAGGATGCTTCGAAAAATTGCCTAATAGCGTTTCTCGAAAAATGGCCTGCGATGCTAGCGCGTCGCCCTGTTAGGATCAACAACTAATAACTATTTCTGAAAAAAGTACCTCTGCCTTTGAAAGTCGACACGTGACCTGTTACCTTTATTACGAAATATTAAGGATGACCATTAAAAAAAAACAATTATTTTTTTAGTTTTTCTAAATTCTCAATATTTTTTTCCACGCTAGCAAAATTAAAATTTTATTTAATGTTTCGCTCTTCAATCAATTTCATTGTTAATTCAATATTTGCCCTACCTGTAAAAATACTCATTCAGTGAACATGTTCTTTCTTGATCTCTTATTTGATCTAATGTTATAAATAAATATCCTAACATAGATTTGTGCCTGACTTCAACAAATATAAAAAATGTTAATATATTTTATTTTATATATTGAAGTCAAATTCCTGGTAACAACATTTTAATGTTTGACAGGTAAGTTATTTTAAGGACAAATCACAAAAATTTCATTCCCCTATGACTAGTAATTTGTTTTATAATTCCCTGCCATAAAATATCATATTATTGGATAAAAACTAGCCAATAGAATTTTAGTAAGTACGGCGGCTTCGTGAACAAAAATGCTATTAGGAAAGTTGTCCAATTTAAGAAATCTGTAGACGGTGTTGTTTATAAATTTTCCTATTAAGAAATTTAAAGCATAGTTAAGAGGGACTTACCAATTCTGTGCTCTGCTTTATATTGCAATATTTCGAATGCTTTCTTTTTCCTTTTTCCTGTAAAAAATAAACATGTTTTTAAAACATTTTTTTATTTCCCTGTAATAAAAATAAGTCAAATATTATTTTAATACAATAGGATCTCAAAATGGAGTAGGACCTCTATCTACGACGATTTGAAATTATTTGTACTGTATTGCACTTTACATCTTTTTATCTTCTTTAAATTTAAAACTTATCAAGAATTTAAGATTAATGAATTTTTACCTACTGGAATAAGTACCAAGAAAAACTTTTATTACATTTTTTATTGATTAAAGAACACCGAATACACTGTTAACTCGCGCCATCTATTTTGTTGCTTGGTTAGTAATTCACAACATGTGAGAATTCTTTATAAAGTAGGTACTATGACTGATAGGGGGCAGAGTAGTTCAAAGTTGGGGTATTAAAATGTATAACATGCGCAAGTCAAGAAATAATTGCCTGAATCCCCCTCTCTTTAACCGAGTTGGCCCCTCGTGGCTTTACGTTTATGAAAACATTATGAGAGAGTTCACTAAGATGGCGAAATGTGTTTAGTTGTTTACTGAAATGGATTGCAGAAATTTGATAATTGTCAAAATTCAAAGTGTGTGCAATCCACCGATGATAGTGCTATCTTCTCTACAACTAACTGGAAAATTTCAACAGCTTTAGAGAAAAGTTGAGAACAATGCGTGAATTTAAAGTTGTAGTTCTCGGTTCGGGTGGGGTTGGGAAAAGTGCACTGACTGTTCAGTTTGTTTCCGGATGTTTCATGGAAAAATATGATCCAACGATCGAAGATTTCTATCGTAAGGAAATTGAAGTGGACAACTCTCCCTGTGTGTTGGAAATTTTGGACACAGCAGGTACAGAACAATTTGCCAGCATGCGCGACCTCTACATCAAGAATGGACAGGGGTTCGTTGTAGTTTATAGTCTCACAAATCACCAAACCTTCCAAGATATCCGCCCCATGAAGGAACTGATCACCCGAGTAAAGGGTACCGAGAGGGTTCCTATTTTGCTAGTCGCCAACAAAGTTGATTTGGAACACCAGAGAGAGGTAGAGTACGCCGAAGGAAACAGTCTTTCCCAACAATGGGGATGTCCTTTTATCGAGGCGAGCGCTAAGAACAGAACCAACGTAAACGAGGTTTTTGCAGAAATAGTCCGTGAAATGAACTTTAGCCCTGAAAAGGAGAAAAAAAGTTACTGCTGTTGTACTGTGCTCTAATAGCGGCCTCCTTCCACTATGTGTTGGGAACAATGTGTTACAACAGACGACTTGCTTTGTGTTAACTGTGAATTGCTGAGTTGACTGTCGACTGTTATTAATTACAGTTTAGCGCCCGTGGACAATTATGGATTTGTATTGTAAATGCTCATTTCTAGTATACTTCAATGGCTTAGAACTGCACAATATCTATATTTTTATACATTGAACAAAATCTTCGTAAATGATGCATAAAATATGTATTTTATTTACTAGTTTTCTAAACCGAATCATATCTACCGTAAGATCTATTTGAATAGTGCCTGATTAAGAACATTGCAACATTGCGACTAAACGCGTGGACGGTACTACTCACGGCCTAAAAAAGATCTGTCAGATGGTTAACCTCCAAGTCAACTAACATTATGGGCCTCCCGGTGTATTCGCCATGCGAATATCCTTCTATTATGGTTCTGTCATCATGTGAGCTCATATTGTATATATTATATTATAACAATTTTATCAGAGATCTGTGTTTATAACATAAGAACTATTCAATCAAAAAGTGATGTGTGCTTGAAGATGCGTGCTTGTAGAACTAATACATGTTTTTGTAAGTAAATAAAATGTTGCCGATAGGATGAGTGTTCTGAGAGCCAAAAAGGATTTGTGATATATACGTATTATAATAAAAAGAATTAAGTGGAAAAGTTTGTATTCTTTCATTTGTGGCCTCATCTTCGATTAATCACTGGTCATTCCCCTCCCCATTACAGAAGCGAAACTAGGTTGAACACGCTGAACAGGTATACATAAATTATATTTTTATTAAATCCTCTTTTATAGCCCATAACAATAATTCACCAATAAGCAATTTATGATACTACGTATCTGAATTAAAATTATATAAAAAAAATACATTGTCGCTGATAAATGCTATAAAATTAATTTTCCTCAATTTTTTATATGGCCTAGCTATTTTCTCCATGTAATAAAATTAATATCATTTCGTATCATCAGTTAAAACATAAGAACGCAATAATGATTTAGATAAATAGATAAATGTGCTGGAGACTATGTCATACTTTTATATTGGAAAATCTTAATAAACAATTCATTAAGTAATTGACTGAAAATTAATAATTGGATTATATATCTCATATCTAACATCAATAAACTTATATTAGTCATTGGAACATCTTTAAATCTTGCAATAATCTTTTTTTTGCAAATTATTAGTAATTCCGATATCTTAACATTCTGACAATTTCAAATGTCGAGAAATATGGAATTTTATTAATGTTTTTCTTACCACCAGAAAGAAGTAACCGCAGACAGAATACAATATTTAAAAGTATGATTAAATTTAGTGAAGAGGAGATAATAATCTAATATCTACATCAATAAATATATCGATAACTGGAAAAACTCGGACCTAGCATTAATCGATTTCTTTAAAATTATGAAATTTTAATGTTTTTTTTTTTATAACTAGAAAGAAATACCTGCAGACAGAATACGATATTTAAAAGTACGATTAAAGCTAGTGATAAGGAGATAAGCTTATTTACGTATTCTGTTTTTTTTGTGCAACCAAAAATATGTGGCAAGAATGACATAATTTCCAGGCCAAACGACCTTCCAAGAGTATATTCCATGACGGATGAACCTGACGTAGGCGTAAAAAATTACTGAGGTTGGCCTACAGGAAGTATCTTTCTAGAAATTTTCAAGTACTGTTGAAAAGTAAGTTAATATTTCTCAATATGGACGTAAAACACATATTTTATCATTTTTCCCGTTATCTAGCTAGAACATTTAATCACATCAGATAAATTATCTCTGTAGAATTATAATTCACCAGAAATGATATGAATCATATTATCCGGAAAAGTATAAAAGTGAATGTATTTTACTGTATTGTAAAGTTATTAGATTACTCAAATCGCTCTTGGATCTGCTTCTAATATAATCCGTTTGTCTTTGATTGGAAAATTTTTTATTTGACTAATCGAAGACATTTTTTATTATGCAATCGTTTTTTAAACGAAGCACAGTGGTATTCATTAATTTTTTACTTGAGCAACTTCACACTACCTACATCTTGACCTTCAGGATCCAATTTCAAGCAAAAAAACACTGGATCCATCGAGACATGCAACTTCTACATAACAATAATACAAAACTTTTCGCTGATGTTGTAAATTACATGTTTTACAAATTTTTGTTTGCCTAGCTCTCAAAATTATTATCTTTTTTAGTCTCAGAGGTAATCTTTTATTAAAAGCAGTTGCTGTTTTGTAGTTAAAACGCGTTAAATTTGTTTTCTACTACCACTTTATGCAATATCATCTAGTATAAATGTAAAAATTATAAAGTGCCAAATTATTTATGTTAAGTAAACTAAATCTTGTACTTTAATGAGTTATATTTTTCGTTTCTTGACTATAATTCTATAATTCATAGTGTGAGGATAAAACCGAGGAACTCCCATTTTAAATATAGATTTCTGAAGGACATACGGTACATGATGTATACATGTACTAAATTATACAAGGCAGCATTTTGTTTGAAGCTCAGTGCCCACATTTCTCGTTTTTACAATAAAAAGAAGCAATATGGAAATAATCCGACCAATAAATAAAGCAACACTTAATACAGAATTCCTTGGCCGACTACTGATGACTCAACGGACTCAAATGTTACAGTAGCTGTATAAAAACGTAATTTTCTTAAAAGACCATTTTATGTATAAGTTTATACACATAACGTATGAATTTAATCACTTTCTTCGGCTGAATTGTGTCGCTAACACATGTTAATTCAAACAAAGAACAATCATTTGTTTTATTTTAACGCTACATTCTTTAGTAAATATCGTATAAACAGATTTTATGTCCAGGATTGCGCCATTGCTCACCTATCAGAGAAAAAGTGTAGGTTGTGTTTACATGCAACCTTATTTAATAAGTTAAGTATTAAAACATACTGCCACCTGTTTGGAATAAGCCATTTTCCGTCGTCAGATAGTAACAGCAATATAAATTTTATAACGTTACAGCCTGATTTCAGATAACTCAAAAACTTGCTAGTAAAATATGTTAATCATATAACCATTGCGTGAACCGCTTTGAACCGGTCTAAATTATTTAAGTCACATTACACGAATTACTTTTTATGATTTGCAGTTGAGACCGTTTAAAATACTTTCATGGTTGGTACTGACTGACAAATCGCATTTCTAAATTTGTAACATTTGTACTTGCACACCTGAGGGCGAACAAATGATAGGTACCTCCTTTTAAAATCGTCAGTACCTGGACCTCTCGGAAATCTCAGGTATAAGAATCAAAAGGTAAGTAAATAATTAATTCTTTTTTACACACATATCATTTATTGATTCTTTTGACAGGTTTCAAACCTGCATAAGTAGGTATTTGCAAAATTATATTTTCCATCCACGTTCGCGCCAATTTCAAATGTAACTAACGATCTATGATATCCTTATAAAAACATCTTGATAAACACTAATTGTTCTAGAGTGCCTTTGTAATACTATCTATGCCGCATGTAAACTAGCTTTCTAATATGAAAAATGATAACATATCCTTGCTTTCTTTATCTGCAGTGATGGCAGGGTATTTCGTAAGTACGTTTTCACGATAAGCTTTCTAAAAAGTGGGTGACTCATCCAGATAAATTCGAGCTCACGCTGGTACATTTCTTAAAACCAGTATTTTTTTTATTTCGTGTACGACCATCAAAAAAGCTACGAAAACTCGTTTGGAGATATTTATGTTTATTTATCCTCTCTGGGTATTTTATTGCTCTATGTACCCAAATCGGTGAGAACCTATAGTTTATTTCTCGCTAATTACAAGGACCATATTGACAAGTGGGGAGGGTAACACCTGTTCTATAAAAGAAAAAGTACCCGCTTTTAATTCGTATTTATATGTTCCACTGTAGCCCTATTTTTAATAACGCGGTGTGTTTTTACGTCTCTGCTTTAAAAATCTGATAAAATCCCAATTAGCCCTCTTCTGACTATAAATTAGCAATAATTAGTTGGTAATTAAGAACGGCTCTTTGCGTAAGTACTAATTTCTTTCTAAGGAAAATCCGCTTTCACGTATACAAGCTCTACATTTTGATGGTGAAAAACGTTTTATCTTATACGCATTAACAACTTACTCAACGTCGTTTATTTACTATTAACCGAACTAGAAATGTTATTTTCACAGCATGGCTTAAATTAAATCAAACCTTTCTAAAAAAAACAAAAAATGAAACAAATCCTATTTAAACATGAACATCCTTTGTATGTACGTCGATTGTAGAAGTTAAGGGATAATACTGTTGAGGCTTCATTACAGTGTGCATTTTAGCATAATTGACTGCTCTTCAAACGCAGGTTATTCATTACTTTGGCTTAAGCGTTCAGTTTAGACATAGTTGCCTAAGGCAGTTAGTGCAACTTGTTAAACATTTAATTACCGGTATCTATATTAATATTAGAACGGTTCTCCTGTTCTCGAACAGTTTTGTAATCAGGAACATCGTCGGACTCTCCAGGGCTACATTGGTTATTGTTAATTAGAGGTATACACGTGGTTGTAGCCAGAGGCGCCCCCCCCCCTTAATTGTTGCTGCATGCTGCAAGTTTCAAAAATTTCGTTATTACGACGCATTTTCCATCCAGTCAAACCAAAAAGTATTTAGGTTTTGAAGTTTATTTTATAGATCTTGTAGTCCCCTAGCAAAAATCCTAGTTACGCCCATGGGTATATAGTGAAATGCTCGTGAAATTTTATTTGAACCCATAAATTTCGCCCTCTAGCAACGTAAACAAGAATTAAAACACAGTTTAAAAAATTAACTCTACTATTCATTTGATTAAAAAATGTTTGTTCATTTAACTTACAACTTTTTTACCATTTCCTCTGTTAAATTCTTAAGCGAGGTAGTAATAACAAATAAATAGAAATCTATTGAATACCTATGTGCCGAATAATGTGTTCCCGGTATTTAAAATTTTGTATTGAATTAATTATTCAAAACTCGTTACATCCTGTTGTGTTCTTCTTTCCTGGTGTACTGCATACTAGTAACGTATTAACAGTTCTTCGATGTTAAAACTGAGTAAAAATCACACCAACGTGAAGAATTATTATATTTTAAAAATACCCACTCACGACGATGTACTCGAGAGAAACTTTTGACGGCGGTTTATTTATTTGAAAATATGGCAACAAAGTACACGCAAAAAAATAACTAAAACAAATAATTCTTTTTAATAAATAATTTTCACCGGGGAAAAATATCAATTATTCCAGGATACTTTTTTGTTTTCGTTGGAAGTTGAGCTAAGTGCCCGTGTTCAGAGGGAAACTTATTTTTACATTAAACGTAACACATGCAGGAACTTGAGCACGCGTTGGCATGTTTGTATCCCTAAGGAGACAACTTTCGTAATAAATTACACTATAATTTGCAGATGTATTCCCATTTTATGTTACGTGTAGCCCATCCGCTTTATCGCTTACAAGGTGATATGAGTTTATTTGTATGTAATTAATTTCCTTGCAAGTATGTATCGGTGATTATTTAGAATTGTACTGATACAAACTAACACATAGACATAGTGTAAACCGAGCATTTCAAAACAATGTATAAAGGAAGCGAGGAAGGTCAATGGACCT